ATTATTGAATCTCATTGTCAGTAAGTGTGATCATTCCTTTTGAATAATATAATTAGTCACAGGATTATTATCCATTAGTAAATGCCAAATTCTATACAACTCTCTTTATTCCTTGAATTGAACAAATTTATTCTCAGCATTAAAAAGTGAGGGATCTAAGAATTGGAAAAAGGGAGGTAGATCAGGAGCCAAAAATTGTTTCCAACTTTTTTCCAAATTTCTGGAGAAAATTGACTTTGAGATGCTGGCTATTGGTTTCTTAGTGTCAAAGAGGCATGGTATTAGCTTAACTGATACGAAGTCTAATTTAATTTTGTATCAGTGAAATAATGTTTCAAATTTGGTGTACATAAATATCCATCATGATTCTTTTATCTTGCGTTCCTTGTCTGTCCTTAGTTTTTTAATAATTATCTATAAATGAAGACATATTTCTTCTACCTGAGGGACTGTTTCACCCCCATCACATCAACCCATCCCACCCAGTCAGGCAGAGAGGACATGTTATGACCTTGTCAGCGAGAGAACGTTGGCTGGCAGGACCCAGGAGGAGAGCCTTCTCTGCTGTTGCCCCCACCTTTTGGAATATTCTCCCCCCAGAGGTGCAATGGGGCCCTACCCTTCCGGCTTCCCAGAAAGGATTAAAGATTTCGCTCTGCCAGCTTGCCTGGGGCAACAAGAATATTACCCAATTCTGGGGGTGGCTGGCACCCTGATGACCCTCCCTGAGCTACTTGCCAATTAACATCTATTCCTGGATTATATTTATTTTCTATTTATTCAGGACCATTTTATATTGTACTTTTCATTGATTTTAACTTCTCTGTAAACCACCCAGAGTTGTTTTTTGATGAGATGGGCGGTGACAAATTTGATATATAAATAAAATAAAAATAAAATATTTATTTGCTATATATGAAACAAGATAGCAGATAATAAATCTGAAAGGTTTGAAATCAAAATTAAAATGAAACAAAATCCCTTGAGGAATAATAGGAATTTTTAATTGCAGCTCTTCTACAAAGCAGTTCTAATGAAAAATATTGTCATGACTTCAATTTCATTTTAATTTTATACAGAAGAGGATTACAATTACGTTTTGTAATAGACATCAATCTTCGGTAATAATTACTTATAAATATCTAAATCCACCTGGGCTAATTATGAAGTTACATACTTTTTTGGAGCAGTTTCTGTGATTTTTATTAATAATACTTAGGGCAGATAATTTATCAGAATTAATTTCTAAACTTGATTAAATTAACTGCATGAAACTTGATTAATTCACTTGCAGTTGAGATATATATCCAATTGGATTTTAAAGAAAAATAAGAATTTAATTGCCAATTTAGTTAACATGGTATTTTATTTTGTTATTAAGAACTTGAATATGTTCATTTTTCTTTCTGTTCCATGATAACATTTCTGTAGTAAGATTACACAAAATGGGTGATGTGAGCATCATTGTTTGATATCCTTATTTGGAAAAATTCTGTACATGCTAATTACTGTTTGTGCAGGTAAATATAATTGATTGAAGGATTAATTTGCAATAACAACTTTTAAAACAATTGACTTTAAAGAAGGTATGTTTTTTAAAAAAATATATTGTTATATAAATGACATAGATGTATCAATTCTTTTTAATAGTATTCAGGTCCAAGTATATCCATGCTGGGAATTTGTTGTTTTTTCCATTTATTACAAAGCTGTTCATTTCATCTTGTTAATTGATTTATGTTCCTTAGTTTTGTAAGATTAGAGGATTCAGTGGAAGATTGAAAAGAACGGAAGGAAGTGTCAGTATAAATTAATAAAATATTTATTTAAAAAAGCTTGGCTCAGGTTTATGGAAAAGGAACTTTTTGACCACCTAAACTAAGTAATTTGAGATCTCACTCCCAGAATTATTGGAAGTATAGATGGTAATTACAGTACCTATATTGTTAATAGAATATCTAGTGACATGTTTTTTCATTGTTTTGTGATTCTGGATTTAAAAACATCTACACAAGGCAAGTTTGTCATTCACATACATCCTTGAATTTTTGTTCTTTCTGTTACTACAGTACCAACATTCTTTGGGTTGCCTTTATATTTGCTATACTATGTGGTTGTTGGTGTATGTGAACTCTATGCCAGCACAGGATGGCATATTATGCGAAAAAAATACTAAGTTTCCTCAGTGAGATTTACTTCACAGTAATTCCATAGGATTATGTAAGGGATTCATTGGTAAGGTCATCAGCAACATGTGGCTTCTTGGCTCAATACATTATAAAATAAATGGAATACACAGTCTGGTTTATTGCATAGTTTATGTAGATTGCAGAATTTAGTTTTCCTTGACATAAACATTTGACCTGTAATGCAAAGAACACACAGTCCTTCTTATGACTGATGTCTTCTTTCAAGTGCCAAAAAATAAGGAATTGTATCAAATATTTTCTCATTTTCATTTTGGGGCTGTTTTTAGGGAGCTGATATAGTATTTTCAAAAAAAGGAGAACATTACCTACCGGAATATTGGTCTTCTAAAGATTATATTTGGTGTTACAGTTTCCATATGTCAACTCCTGCTGCTTCTCTTTTCCCTGAACTGTCCTTGTGCTGATCAAAACACATTAGGATTAAGTGGTGAATAATTCGAAGATGTGAAATTTACAGTCTATCAGGATTATGTACATGATGATATCAGTGAGGGCTAGAAGATTTCAGTAGAAAACTGAAAAGGAAGAAAAAATCAATATAAATTAAAATAATATCCATTTTAAAAGTTCTGTTCAAGTCTGTAGAAATGGATTTGTTCTGACTACAAAAATTATTTCCTAAAATGTGAGTGCTTCCAGCTTAGTCTTAGTTGTAATGCATTTTCATTGCATATGCTGAGTTTTCTGATGGTTCATTCTTTCAGCTAGCCTGGCCTGGATAACTCAGCTTTCCAAAAGCTAGTTACCCTATAAGTTCAGGAATGGTCATTTCTGGGAATTCTAGAAGTTAAAATCCACATATCTGGACAGACTCAAGATGGAGGAAACAAGGATGGCAGTTCAAATAGAGAATTATCCTTTTAAGTAGAACAGATGGGCATCTTATTAGTACCTGAATTAACATGTTTCTGAACTGCATTCTTTCCTAGCTCCAGTACTCTAGTTGATATTTCTAAAATGGACACGATGGACACAATAATAGTTTCTCTGTAAGGTGTTGGGATAAATACAATGAATAAATACAATGGCACAGGGTAGAACAAATGTGGTTATTGTCAAAAAATCAGAATTCAAAAAATTATATTTAATATGTGATTAGCCTAGTTTGAAAACATGTTTTCCCCTATGCATTTAATGCCTGCACATGAGTATTATAATTAACAATAGTGATTTGCATACAGGAGCCAGAAGATTTTATGAGTACAGTAGTCTCAGTTTTTTTTATCTAGTTAATATGGAGCAAAGTAGTGAATCAAATAAAAATTTACTTCTGTTCCATATTTAGGCCAGTGATTGTTTCACTGAACAGCAGCAGAATTTCCTATCGCTAGTATAACTGTAAATATTTGTGGATGAATTGCACAATAAATAAAATATGTATGATTTAACATCTAACATATTCCAGATATGTTGGGAATACAACTCCCTGAATTCTCAGCCAACATGGGCTATACTGGCTAGGATTTCTGGGTGGTTTCCTGTTGTTAATAAAACTAATACACTATTCATGTATGGGTGAGACATGAATTGGAAGTGCTGCATGGATGAGTTCAATTTCCAAGACATGATACCTAGTGGAAATGGGTATTACACCATCTGCAATGTAGACAATCATTAGGAATAAGGATATAGCTAAATATGTTTTACTCATTATATCTAAGTAGCATTTTTATCCAGCTCTTAAATCAAAAATCCTCCAAGTGTAGCATAAATATACACCAAAGACATCATAGAGAAGGAAAATGGGTTGTGGAAGGAAGAGAAGGTAAAGTACAATTTGGTTTTCTTCTCTTTTCTTCAGTATGATAATCAGTATATGTGTGTGCATGTGTGTGTGTGTACACACACACATACGTACACACAGACCCATACATACATACTGCACTGAGGAAGAGGAGTAATACATACATAGGTTTTGCTGCAAGAAAAGTTGAATTGGCCTATCTGTATGAATGTTATAAAAGTTGATCAAAATATTTGACATAATTTATTGTGCCACTACTAGTAATGTGGCAAATAGTTCTAGAAGTTGTATCTTTTGATTTCTGGAGAGGAAATCCTCCATTTACCCCATCCTGCATCACTAGGTATAGCCCATACAAATTTTATGCTTTTTTCTGACAGTCTTAAATACCAGAAATGTGAAAAATAATTTTCCAGTATACTGAATTCCACACTCACATTTTACATCTATTTTACAATGAGTAATTATGGGATACATCCCTGCCTTGAACTGTATATAGAAATTTATAATTTGTATGTACATAGGAAAGACTTGAAGATGAATTTCAATAACATATTTCTTTGTGATAAATCTGACATATAGCAACAGAGGCTTACAGAAAGAGTATAACACATATACATAAGATTCTATTATCGTAAAAAGCCATGCTTGTAATGACATAATTCTGTGCCTAATTGTATGAATGATCAGTCCCATTGTAATCAGTGGTGCTTCCACCTAGTTAATCCTATAATTTGAATTAAACATAATTATTTCCAGTTTTATATAGAAATTGTGTGTTGCTTAGGAAAGCAGTCTGATAGCTGACATTGATGGATCTGTCAGTCACATCAACAAGGCATTTTAAAATCAAAATGTAAAAGCAGCTTATTTGTACAAGTCTATATGCATTTTGAATTGGTTAATAATAGCTGCACAAATGAAACTTAAGTTATGCCCTACTGATCGAATAATTTTGCCTGAAGTGGTAAGATTTGATTTCTGTATTAACAAATATTACTAATCTGCTAATTAAATTTATAAGAGTTGGTTTACATTTATTTCAGCAGGCATTAGTTAAACAAAAGGCAGCAAGGAAATTCAGCAATAAAGAAAACTCTGAACTAAGTACTGATCAAGATATTGAGAACACAGCCAAAAGTGAGCCAAGAAGAGTTAAAATATTTGATGGAGGGTGAGTATTCTTTTTTCTAGGAGTGCTGTAACTTTTTATTGATTATTTTGAACTGAAATCTGATTATTCCACCATGTTTTGTGAAGTAGAATTTGTATGCATTGTGAGGATTACAATTAGACTGAGGGGTTATTGCTAAGTTTTAATGGTTTTGGTAATTTGGTCGGTCTAGCATCCTGTTTTTCTAAATTATTTGCTACCTTTTGTCTCAGTTGGCTCAGCACTTAGAGTCTTAACTCTGTTTTCCCTTTTTCTATTGTATTTTCTTGCTTAATTCTTCAAACTGAGTTCAGTATAAACACAGACCTTCCAAATTTAAATAACTGTTTCATTCCAGAAAGCTTGCATAATGCAATTTTTGCATTAAATCAGGTATTCACCCATGTGCTATATGACATCACACTGTGCACATAATATCTGTTTTTATGCACTTTAGATGTAGCATATGGAAACCTTTGCAGAAGGTTGAAATTACATAAATCACATCTTATGTAACCCATAAAATGGGTTGGTAATCCCATGGTAAACCCTTAACCACATTCAAAACCATACTTCTGATACCACAGTTTTCTACTTCAATATCAGTCTCACAGAAGGCAAGACTGATGAAATTCAGAAATGGGTAACTGGGCAGTAGAGAAGTCTGATTCCAATGTTCAGAATCCTATAACATACTATTCATTTCATTAAAAATAAACTCTGATGTCCAGGAAAAACACATACACACAGAATTTGCTAGCAAAATACCACCCTATGCTTTCCCCTCAAATAGTCTAGAACAGTGTTTTTTAAACTTGGCAACTTTTAGTTGTGTGGAGTTTAACTCCTAGTATGCAGGCTGGTGAATTTTGGAAGTTAAAGTCCACACATCTTAAAGTTGCCAAGTTTGAAAAACGCTGCTCTAGGATGTTTCCTGACACTCCAGTTTATCATTTTCTTACCCGACTGTAGTGCTGGGCTGCAATTTTCACGTTTTCAAACTGTAATTTAAAAAATGAACTTTTGAAACATTAAAACAGCAGAATTGATGAACTGATGTCTATTTCAAGTGCTTTCCAAATTCCTTGCATAACATTTATGCCCATAATTCTATTGCTCATATTAGATTATTTTTCTGTCTCATTTAAATTAGATATAAATCAAATGAAGAATATGTCTATGTTCGTGGGAGAGGAAGAGGAAAATATATATGTGAAGAATGTGGGATACGATGTAAAAAGCCCAGTATGTTGAAGAAACATATTCGCACACACACAGATGTCCGTCCATATCATTGCAATTACTGCAATTTCTCCTTCAAGACTAAAGGTAGTTCAGTTGTTCATGGATAATTGTTTTGAGTCCCCTCCATCCCCAGACTATTAGCAGATGCTTTTCTGGCTTGACACATCAGACTTACGTTAATAGATGATCAAGGTATAGAAGACTTTCTATAAACTATATAGACTATATAAATGATAAACTATATAGGCTTTGAAGATTTTCATAATTTTTAAAGTTGTTGCTTCAAATCAAGATTTGGAAAGTTGTTATAAAGCTATGATAAATTCAAAAGAATTTGTAATGTGCCATGTCTGTTACTTAAGTAAGAATAGTAATCTCCTTGCCTGCCAAAACACCTAGGAGGAATTTTGGGTGCAGAAGGTATCTGCTTCTTTTGAGAACACATCCTGTATATAATTGGTGGTACAGGCATTTATCAGGCAGACATTCCCTAGAATGATATCGATTTTGCAATTTTAATTCTTGCAATTAATCCAGGGTTAGCTCAGAATTGAAAACATAATTGTGCTAATTTGGGTAAGCTATTGTTTCTTTTGCCTTTTATAAGGAGTTACTATGGTAAAGGGTTTATAAGAAAAATGACAGAACATTTTGATTCCATTTGTGCGCCCAAAATACTGAATTAAATCTCATTGTTCTAAGTCTGAATAATCTGTGAACAAATTTAACAAGCACTGTGTTAGGGGCATGCTAGTGTCTGTTTGTTCCACTTTAAGTCTAGATATTTAAAAAAGAAATTAACTTTTTATAATTTATATAAAAGTAAGATGACATTTACATCAAAGTTTGGTATAATTCTGCTTCCTCGTAACATTAACAAATTGGTTTATTTTATTGCTTATTTTAATTAAGGGCAATGCAAATATAAAGTTCAAATTTTATGTAACTATAGAAGAAAAACTATTGCATGATATTATAAAATTGGTTCTTTTAATTATGACAAGGCTTGCTGCAACTTTGGATAAATCTAATTATTGTGCAGAAGAGGAAGTACTGCAAAAATGTGAATGGAATGGCAAATTTCATAAAATCAGCAACAGTCTCCTGAGCTCAACTCCTGCCAAGCTCAACTCCTGATGATTTCACAGATATATAGTTTTCTTGGCAACAATGTAGAGATAGTTTGCCATTGCCTTCTTATCTACTTTTATATTTAGTAAACCCAACATTATTTTGCTTAGTCTAGGAGTATAAAAAAAATGATGTTAAAATGCTTGGGAGCAAAAGTAATGTATTGACTTCCTATAAATTTCTCAAATTTATTGTAAGGCTATCACATACCATAACATCATGTCCCACATGAAACATGTGATGATTGGCATGCTTATTGTCATGATCCTGTGCTGCTATGCATTCGTTTTTAAGAGTAAAACATTGCATTATTAGTTTTGTTTTGATTTTTCTTTTAGGAAATTTGACAAAACATATGAAGTCCAAAGCACATAGCAAGAAGTGTATGGATTTGGGAGTCTCAGTGGGATTAATAGATGATCAAGATATAGAAGACTATGGTAAAGGTTTTCATAATTCTTAAAATTTTAATCATATATTTGTGGTTGTGGTATTTTTTCCCCTTAAATATTTCCCTTTTTCTGCTAAACCTTTAATTCAGCTACTTTCATGGAAGAAGCATTTCAGATACTTTGCACAGTCTCTGGGGGCCATATCCAAGCCATTCAGGGTTCACGTGCACCTCAATTGGTGCACTTCTGAAATTCTGTTCACTCACCAAATTTTTCTACATGATAAAATTGGAAAATGGTTTTGAAATCTCACAAGCCTCCATTTAATCAAACTTGAATAAATTAAGTCCACTTAAAGTGGAATTTAATTCCAGCTTAATTGTGACTGACAATAAGATGACTATTTTGCAATCCTAATCTGAATCAGAGGATGGAGCATATTAGACAGAGGATACCTCCATCAACTGATAATGAAGCTCAAGCTCAGATACTTTGGTCACCTAATGCGAAGAGAGATCTCTTTGGAGAAGACCCTGATGCTGGGAAAGATTGAAGGCAAAAGGAGAAGAGGACGGCAGAGGATGAGATGGTTAGATTACCTCCATCAACTGATAATGAAGCTCAAGCTCAGATACTTTGGTCACCTAATGCGAAGAGAGATCTCTTTGGAGAAGACCCTGATGCTGGGAAAGATTGAAGGCAAAAGGAGAAGAGGACGGCAGAGGATGAGATGGTTAGATAGCATCATTGAAGCAATGAGCATGAAACTGAGCAAACTCAGGGAGGCAGTGAAGGACAGGAAGGCCTGGCGCAATATGGTTCATGGGGTCACGAAGAGTCGGACACGACTTAACGACTAAACAACAACAACAACAACCTCCATCAACTGGGGTATTTTATAATAAATTAAATTAGGAGTCTGGGGAAAGAAGACCCATATAAATTACAAAATTCACACACAGAGATTCAAATGGGAGATAGAATTATTGTTTAAATAGACCCCGTGAATTGGAACCCCCACAATATGTTGGACTATAAATTCTAACATTTGATGGTGGATGTAAGTCAGTACATATGGATGATGCTGGGTTTAGAAGACTGCCCTATGCTATTCCATTATATTCAGTTACTGCAATTTGGTCCAACTCACAAAATTTCAAAGGCTATACTGTTTGACACTTATGGAAGGGTGCCAGGCTGGGGAAAACGGTTGTGTAGAATATGAAAATACTGTGCTTTGGTAAGTATATATCAAATATTTAGATTTGAATACATTAATCTACATAGCCAAATCTCAGAAGCCATTGTCCACAATCCACCAGCAGATATCAAGACTTAGCCTATGCATTCTGCAAAATGACCTGACAAGGACATGACAGGATTGTGATTCAATGGAAAATAATGAACTATGCAGCTGCAAAGCTAGAGATGTATTTATTTATTTAATAAATGTACATGGCTGCCTGTCTGATAAACATGACTCCGGACAGCTAACAATTAAAACAGAGTAAAAACAATAAAAACCATAAAAATTAAAAACAACAGAAATAGCAGCTGAGAACGCTCATAACATTCAAATTTAAATTGCTACCTGAAATTGAAGAATCCGAAAATCAGTGAAAAGGCCCAAACCATTGTTACAGGCATGATGAATTCTACCCTATCTCTTCCTTTCCATTATTTTGGATGTTCAAAGATGCAATAATAAACCAAATTTCATCTCTGTTCTATTTTATATTTTTATGTATTGTTAGCCACCCAGAGTCACTAGGTTGAACTGTTTTAATTAATTAGTTAAAAGTTTTGAATATTCTCTTTTCTTTTTTTAAAAAGGTAACTTTTAATATAGAATTAACCTAGCAGGAGAATAGTATGTTAGAAAACTCCACCCCCCACCCCACAATATGATATTCTTTCCTTATTGTACTACTTCATGTGTAAGTATTTATTATCTATAGTAAGTGTAATAGGATGTATGTATATATTCCATTTAGCTGTTATGTTTGGAACTGGGAAGATCCTTGAATCCTGAGATTTAAAAATATAAAATTGTGCAGTGTAATGAAAATCAGGCAATCTTTAAAAACTGGAGAGTATTCTGTTCAATAAAATGCACTGCTTGTGGAGTAAGCCTCCTCCCAGAATACTTAGGGATAGTTTTTGAATATATATTAAGGAAGATCCAGTTTAGAATTCATATTTTGGTTCCAGGTCTAACCCCTGAAGCTGCTCAGGTTCATGAGCTAAAATGTTTCAAGCATTTTATAAAATTGATAAGCATGACAACAGAACATGATGGTCTCAACCCAGCCAGTGAAACTTTCAGTCATAGGTAGTGCCTTCCCATAATATGCCAAGGAATGGCTTTTGGCTTTTTGTCTGCAGCCAACAGACTGATATCTGGATTGTAGCCTGTATTTTTAGTGAACATAATTGCAATTTAGCCTTCTACAGTCCTTCCTCAGCATAGATTATGAATTTGTTAATAGTGTTAATTCTGTTAAATATACAGATTTTTTTTCCTAGCCCTTTTTCATTATTTGTTATCTGTTGCATAAGAATTGACAGGAAAACATTAAGGTTAATGCCCAGACAGAAATTTAAACCATCCTGTGAGCTCCTCTTCATCCTTGAATGTCTCTTGCTTAGTATATCTTAAAGGAGAATAATAATTTTAATGAGGTTGGACAGTTTTTGAGTGAAAGGCAGAACCAGAATGTATTTGTTAGAAAAGCCATTATTGGTCAGTAAAAATTTGTGGAGTTTCTATCAAAGTTATTATATAGTTTCAATTTGGTTTTGTGAGACTTGCTCATAAATGATTGGAGGATTTACAACAGGAAGGTTGGTAAATTATGGCAGTGTTTTCTGGTTTCAGATTCACTATCATTTGGGTATTAGTGAATACCACTTAGTTTCCCTTTTATGTTCCAAATCACCCTTGCATCTTTCATCTCTTGATCTTAAGAATGTTCTTCCCACCCAAAATATAAGGTTAATATGTTTGGAATGCTGGCTTCTGAGCTAAGCTGTCAGACCAGGTGAACCATTCAGCGTGATATAGTACAACTGAGGCATATCATTTTTCACAGTGCTTGCCCAAGTTTTCATTGCACATTCCATTTAGATAACAAATGCCCAATCCCAAATTCATTTGTTTGGAAAAAGGTTGTGTTGAATTCCATGGAATTTCCATAAAAGCATGTTCAGGACTAGTTTCAGGTCACTATCCATTTCCTAAAGAGTTGATCTGATCCTCAGAAACATTTAAAATGTGACTCTTCTCCAAGATGTTAATTTTATACAAATATATTTGTGAATACCTAGCAAAAATTCATACTATTTTAACTTCTGTAGAAAGTTGCAGCATATTTTATCAAGCAGTTTCCCACCTACATGCTAATATGGCAAAATCCATAGATTTTCTAGCTTATGGTTGATGACAAGAGATCCTCCAATAGTAGGGAGCCATTGAATAATACTTTAAACTACTTTTATGAAAAGGAGCTTGACAGTTAGTAAGCCGTATCATTTCAGGATAAACATCAAAGCCTTTTTAATCTCTGGTGCTTTTAAGTTGCTCCAATATGAGCTTCCCCAGTAGATGTCAGTATTAGGAAGAAAGAAAAAAAATAAAACAGATATAAATACAATTCAAATTTGCAGACTTTTAAAATTTACATAAGGAAACGTGAAACTATATATAATATAAACATATTATTTACATTTATTTAAATTTGGTATTACTGTACTTTCTCTATAACTTTATGTCCCATAAGGAAAGTGTTCATATTTGCTATCACTACTGTAGGTGGTAAGTTGCAGTTCTGAAAGTGCCTTCATCATTAATGAATGTGTTGTGCATATGGTATTCCACACATAAATAAAAATAAAATATTTGGATCTTTGCGCATAGATTCACTGTTACTTTAAATAATAACTATATTTTATCAAAATATAGCTGAAATGTCCTTGAGAGTTGTAAATCTTATTTTCAATTATTGATAAAGTTTTTTTATTTAATAGGAATTTATGATTAAAGTAATCAAACTGAAAGTTCATTTCTGTTATATTAGGTATTTTCAATATCTAATTAGGTACAATTAGTACTATAATTCATTTCTGTTATATTAGGTATTTTCAAAATGATAAGATAGTACAATTTGGGGAGGTTATGGAAATAACTTGGTAGAATAGAATTACAGTTCCAGTTCCAAATAGAAAAATATTAGGTAAGGTACAATATAGAAATAACAGCTGCTTTGTCCCATTTTATATCATTTCTTCAACATTGATCACTTCCACCAACTCTAATGTTTAAAGTGAGTGTTGATGGTATTAAGAAAGCCTTTTAGTGCAACTCCCAAAAAGTATTTTATTAGGGAAAAGGGAAGAAAAGGCTTCAAACCACATTATCAGCAGCTGCTTACAGACCTTAGTGATAATATCTTTAGCAAGGTGTAAGCATCTCCCATTTGTTGTTACTCAGTACTGGAGCATGCAGAGAATAATCTTTATTCTCAAAAGTAACTGTTTATTGATTATTTGTATTGTTAAATGTTTGTATTAATAAATATAATTTCATATGATTCAGAGTTTCAGAATAAATTTGAGAACAATCAATAGCAGTTCCTCAGCTGTATGGAATCTATACTTTTTCTCCCAGCTTGATCCCTGAGAATTTAACAAATGGCATTGTTTATTACAGGTAGTCCTCAGGTTATGACCACTTGTTCAGTGATCATTCAAAGTTACGATGGTGCTGAACGAGGGGGACTTATGACTGGGCCTCGAAGTTCTGGCTGTTGCACCATTCCCATGGTCATGTGATTGTCATCTGAGCACTTGGTGCAGTGAGCCACAGTCATGTGATTATGGATTACAAATGTTTAACGTGGAATATAAATTTATCAAATGCTCCTCAAAAGAGAAAAAAAATCATTATTTGAAAAAATTAAAACAAGATATAATTTGCCTA